TCTATCTATCTATCTATCTATCTATCTATCTATCTATCTATCTATCTTTATTTTGAAACATGATATGATTTAACAATGTTTACATTGAATGCTTCATAAACATGCATCATGTTTCAAAAAGGAGTAGGATGAAGCCTAAGTGTCACAGTTGTGCCCATTTTTTCCCCAGTCCATTCCACTTTTTTTTTTCCCTCAGCCACCTTTTGTTTTACTTGAGTCACCCGTTCCAGTCCACCTTTTATCTACGGCCCTGTTTTCCCGCCCTGGTATCTTCACACCTGAGTTCACAGCTGTAACGCATTCCCACCTCATTTGCCCAGTATTTTAGTTCCCTCAGTTTTTCCCCTTCTTGCTAGTTCGTTTCATCTGTGAGACTCTTGGTGGATATCGGCATAGCTCCTCAGCCCTTTTGCCCGTTACTGGACTTTTCCACAGTGCCAGCTCGTGGTAATTCTGTTTGTGCCTTGTGCACCCCTTTTCCGGTTTTTGTGGACATTGCTTTTGTTTTCGTCACCCCTGCTGGGCAGAGTTTTTGTGTTTGGATTTAATGAAGACCTCTTAAAAATAAAGACCGTTGAATTGGACTTCCTGGTGTGTTGCGTTTGAGTCCTGGAACACCTGCGTGACACTAAGCTTATTAAGCCCTACCCCTCAGTTACATGTGTCATAGTGGTAAAGGACAATTATTTACAGCAAGACAAACAGTATAGCAACTTTTTATATATTACTCTTTTTTGTATTCATCAAAAATACTTCTCTTATATTCTTTTTTTAATTGCTGGATGCTTTTACATTGTTTAATGTTTTCAGGCAAGCTGTTCCAGAGCTTCACTGCGATAATTGATAAACTAAAGCTTCTTTTTGTTGTTTGAACATACTTAGTTTTGAAATTTAATTTTCCTCTTAGATTATATTTTCCATCTCTATCAGAAAACAATTGTTGTATGTGTGCAGGAAGTGAGTGTCAGTGAGCGTGCACGCAAACTCCTGAGATTTTAGTCCATTAACGGTGTTTTGTATTGTTTCTGTTTGTGTTTTTTTGCATTTACAGGCTGGGAGTGATGGGGAGAGCATCGGAAACTGTCCTTTCTCCCAGCGCCTCTTCATGATCCTGTGGCTGAAAGGAGTTGTCTTCAATGTCACCACCGTTGACCTGAAGAGGTAAAAGTGTCAATACGTTTTAGATTAAACATGACACGATCGATCAGACACATTGAAGTTGCCATTTAGATGTCAGAATAATTGTTTTTTCCATCCCATCGCAGCACAACTGTTTCCACTTTTAGTGGGAAGGTTTTCCTACAGACTGGAATAAAAAGCTCTCACATTTAGGAGGATTCACAGATTTAAACAACACATTGTTAGTCTTAGTAAGAAAAAGTATTCTTTGTTGAATGAAGCATGATTTTCTTTAAATAAAACACATTTGTAGAAAAGGATTTAAGTGAATGACCTGCCCTATTATGAGCCTTCCTTATACTTTAATACTTTGGAAAACGTTTGACTTAGAGGAGAATTTACATTTTTACACTCTCCAAATAAAAAGGTTGGATATTTTCTGGAGGATTTTGTTCATTTTTTTATTTTTTATTTCTGATAAGGAAACCAGCAGATCTCCACAACCTGGCCCCAGGGACACACCCGCCCTTCCTCACCTTCCAGGGGGAGGTCCTCACTGATGTCAACAAGATAGAGGAATACCTGGAGGAGATGCTGGCTCCGCCAAAGTAGGCCTCACAAACACCCTGATGTCAAATGAGCCTCACGGCACCACGCTAACTCCTTTTTCCTCAGGTATCCCAAACTTGCAGCAAAGAACCGCGAATCAAACATGGCGGGAAACGACATATTTGCCAAGTTTTCGGCATATGTAAAGAACACAAGACCGGACAGAAATAGAGGTTAGAGCTGCATTTAAACATGTATAACGTAGTTTTAGAGCTGCATTTAAACATATATAACGTCGTTTTTTGGTTTAACGTGGTCACATTAAAGGATCTTGTGGATGGTTTGTTTGGCTTAAGCTTTGGAGCAGAGTCTAAACAAGGCCCTGGCTAAACTGGATGAGTACCTGATGAGTCCCCTTCCTGACGAGGTCCAGACGGGACGCAGCGGTGGGGATGGTGTTTCGGCCCGTAAATACCTGGATGGAGATGAACTCACATTGGCTGATTGTAACCTCCTTCCCAAACTTCACGTAGTAAAGGTGACCGGCTCCGACCCGCTTTCTCTATTTCCCTATTCGGCTTCGACTACAACCTCTAAATCATCTGTTTCTGGCAGGTCGTTGCAAAGAAATACAGAAACTATGACATCCCCTCGGAGTTCAAAGGGGTGTGGCGTTACCTTGGCAACGCCTACAACAGAGATGAGTTCACCAACACCTGTGCAGCTGATGTGGAAATAGAACTGGCCTACAAGGCTGTGGCAAAGAGACTGGGGAAATGAGCCCCTCGTGATCGAAAGCACTTTAAGGCCATTGTTCCCCCAGATTGTTCCATAGAAAACCCTTTCACAGTTAATTACAAACATTCTGAGTCATGAGTTTTTAAAAAGAAATATACACAAATAGCTTAATTTCTCTGCATATGTTGGAGGCCTTTGAAATGGTTTAGTAAAAGTGATAATATTTGTGATATTTTAACATTAATGGTTTTGAAAATTACATCATTGAAGCTCAGAAAACTCATCATGTGATAAAAGTGTGAAGATTTGAGTTGGTATTTGCTTACCTGATTTATGAATAGAGGCAAGTGTTCAGCTAAAAACTAGCATAAGCTAACAGTGTCACCACTGATGCTAAGAAGCAATCACAAGCTATTTTTTATCTAGAAATTACATTTCTGTCCCTCTGCACGACTTAATTTCAAGTATCTGATTGCTAGGTGATCATAAAAGGTTTACCTTAGGATTTTTGCTTTAAAAAAATACCCAAAATCTGCATTTAAAAGCAGGTTTTGTAACTACAATTAGCTTAGTTAGCTAGCTTACTACAGCTAACCAAATTTTGAACTGTTTTCTGCAATTCCACCCTAATAATTTCACAAAATAGCCATAAATGGAAGCAACGTAAGACTAATTTTCTGTTTTAAACTAATTTTTACTTCCATATCAGCTATGTTTTTTAAAGAAATTGGCACAATAACATGACCACAAAGTGCTAATGATATGCTCAAAACAAACAACACTGGCAACACACTTCTAAGAAACAGGAAATGCCACCGCATGTCCAACATGTCCACGTCTTAATTATTTAAAAAACATGTTGCTAATACATTTTAAATGAGTATGTCCTCATATTTCGCAAAGCATTTGACTTGTATTTTTGTACCTTCTCCATTAGGAACCAGGGTTGTTTTTTTAACAGTAGGAAAAAAATAACTAACACTTTTGTTTTGAAAGAAATTAAATGTCCTTGTGCAAAAAAAAAAGTGAAGAAGAGGCTTACTAATGTAAAGGAAAAGACAAAATTCTGCAAATGATAGGTAATCCCTGCCCAGCCAGCGGTGTTTTATTTTTTTCCAGACTGAGCTGAAGTATTATTCCCTTGTCTGTCATAAAAATGTCAAACTCTGATGCATAAAGTGGGGCTTGGTGATCTTACTTGTCTGCTTTTTCCTCTCTCCATGATTTGCAGGTACTGTTCCCATGCCGCAAACTGTAATAGAAAAGAAAGTGTTTCAGCCAAAGTAGTTTGTCTTTCACTGGTGTTGTGTCAGGTTTCGTAGATTTCACCGGCTTTCCTCCAATGAAGAATAGAATCAGAGCACTTAAATCAATGTCTTGACATCCTTTTTGGAGGCTTATGTCTCTTTTTAAAGCCACTTCCACAGTTTACAGCCCTTATACAAAAAGGTTTTCACCTTTTTCTTCATATTGGATAAATAATTCGACAATCTCAGTCAATTTGATCAACATTTATACAGAAAAATTGTCCTTATTAAACCACAAAAAAAACATGATTAAGTGCTACCTGACATAACTTTTCTTCTGAGTGCCTTAGTGGGAATCAGGCTCACTGCTTACTTTAGCTTTTACGTCTGTACAGTCAAAGATGTGAGTGTAAAAGGATCAACACTATGAATGTGCTGTGTGACAATGATGTATGCTTAATATGTCTGTATATCATTATCTGCTATATTCATTTTCTCCCTGTTGATTAGAACCGTGAACCCACCGTCTATAGTGTTTAGCTTATTTGGATAATAAACCTATTTTCTCAGAGACTGCTTGGGGGTTGTGGTTAATCACTTTCATTTTCATTTTGTGGTTATTCACTTGAACCTGCCTCGCTTTAAGTATGAATGTGCTGTATTCATATAAAAAGAACTGGGAGAATGTGTGTGTTCCCATGCAAAAGTTCCAAGAAAAACAACTTGCTTACTTCTTCTCTCTTCATGAGAAAGTGCAGAATGGGCCCAGACCATTAACTAATCTAGTTCTATCTCCAATGCTAAGTGGTTATTTCCTGGATGGGTCATCAGTTGGTAGATGTCAGATTATTTACTGTTTTCTATGGTGTCAAAAAAGTCAGATTTCAGGCTTTGAACTGTGGAGACTAACACCGGAAAACACAAACTCCACTACAATCTTAATCTCAAAGCTCCTCCAGGACTACACTTTATAAGATCCTGGGTTTTCAATTTATACTATTTATGTTCCATTTTCTGATGGAATAAGAACACCTAATTATTTTTCATTGTATTAAAATTTCCATTTTCTTTTACACTTAATGGGAAGCATTTAATCAACAGTCAGCTTTAAGATGATTTGAGCAGAGTGTGTCCAATAATAAGTCAAATTAAATGCATAAATCACTTCCTAATTTCTCCAAATCATTGCAAACTGAAGGTCAAAGGGGTGCTATTTCCTAGAAGTGAATAGTTTTTGTGTTATTTCTAACGATTTTCTGTCTGGTGTGATAAATGTTCGCGTATGGAGCCTCATTACATAAATAGAGTGTATAAAATAGAGCAGATTTCCAATAAAGACAATGGCTCATGATAAAGTGCAGAGACCCCAGCAGGTGGCAGCAAACACAAAGTGTGTATTTGTGTTGAGGTGACGGAACCTGTTTAGGGACCGTCCATGTTTTTACTCACCTGTTTTTGGCACACATGAACGCCACTCAATTACTTTTTCAATTTGATTAAGTTTTCTTTAAACGGTACCAAATAATGATTTAAAAAAAGTTCCAAACTACGGAAATGGGCAGATTGCATGGAAATAAACCTATTCTTTATACTGAATTGTGATAATGAAGGTGGTTTAATGGAGGATATTTAGATTATTTCAATGCATGACTGCAGTTTTATTGTGTCTGTAGATTTGTATGTGTATTTGTGTGTAGTCTATGACACTACATATGGTTTTGCTCCCACATTAGATTAGTTTCAATGCTTAGAATAATAAATCATTTTGTTAAACTGTCAACAAAATGCTCTAATAGCAATGGAGCAGCACAGATAAAACCCTCTTTCCGTGATAATGAGGACTTTTCTGGAAAGAGATCCCATTGACTTATCAGACGGCAATAAATGATAAATATTCCTAAAATGATTCCATGTGTTGCTAAAGGGCCAAGTAAAGTAAACTGGGCTGTTCTGAGCTTCTCTGCCAGGTGCAACACTAATTCAAGATAAGATAACGCTATCAAATGACCCATGTTAACAACTACACATCTTTTAAACCTCAACATGGTATGGAAAGGAATCTGTTTAATATAAACACACGTCTTGGGTCTTATCTGTGTGGTTTTATGATTAATTTGATTGGCTGGTTAATGATTCTGCATATTTTATGACCCACTTGTTCCAACGTCAGAGAGGTGTGGTGCGTTTCGTGCGGGTTGTTAAAAAGCTGACGGTCCCTGAACGTGTCACTCTGGTTGTGGGCTGAGCGAACTGCTGTGCTCGTGCGCTGCCGTTGCCTTCAATTCCGCCGTTTCAGTCCGTTCAACACGGCGACGACCCCCCCGGTTTGCCTGTGCCTGGAGCTCCGCTGCGTGTCCGTGGGCTTCGCCGTGCCCTTGAGGAGGTAAGCCCCCGCCGAAGGTCCCCTTAGACGGCCGCGGATCTCTCCGGGCTCCGTGGTGGACGAAACGGGGCTCTGGAAGAGGAGGAGGAGGAGGCGTCGCTTTTTTAGCCGCCTGTGCGTGCGTGTGATCGGGAGTGGGCGACTCGTCATTGCGGCGATGCGTGTTTTTGTTGTGAAATGTGAGGTGGTCGATGGGGGGGGGTTGAATGTAGACCCGGCGGGGCGGCTCTCCGGAGGCTCCCCGGCGGACCGGAGGGGGGACGGAGCCGCGTTGCTAACGGTTACCGCTAGCCGGGTCCGCGGCCGTTGGGGAACCGTTACGGTAACCGCTAGCTGGGTTCACGGCCGTTGGGGAGCCGTTACGGCCAACCGCCGCAGCAATCAGGGGGTCCCATGGTAACCAGACACGTCTCCCCCAGCCCAGGAACACAAACCCGTTAAAGATAAAGCGACGTCCGTTGGGCCGGTGGCCTCTTTGTTTGGGGAACATGTTGATCGGTAAACAGCTGGAACACCGAGGCTGTTCGCACCGGTCTGACCTCCTCCAATCAACCCCCCCACGGTAGCAGCAAACTCAGAGTTTTACGGAGGAAAGACGCCACTTGGACTTGGTTTTAGACCCAGATCCCCCTCCAAACACACACACACACACACACACACACACACACACACTGACACCTCATTCTCCGTTTGGGTCGAGGTCAAACGGTGACGCGCCGTCTCACCTGGATGGACACAAGCTGGCCAAACTTGTTTTTCCCCAGACAGGATGTTTAGTTTCGATCTCGCCCACAGTTGAGATCAGTCGTGTTAATTCATGCCCCGGACGCTCACAGCCTCTGAAAACCAGATAAACAGTCATCAGAGGGAACATGTACAGAAACAGGAATAAAACATGTGAAGGCTGATGTGCCAAACACAGAGATGAGTCCATTATAATTCGCCTGTTTGGCTCTTTTAGAAGCACTTAAGTGGCCCGTGTGTGACCTAATCAGGTTATGAGTTGATGATCTGCCTCCATTAGATGGATTCTGTCATTATCACCTCCAACGACGAGACGAGACGTCTGTACTGTTTGTGATGTGGACCACAGAGCTGGGCTCCGCCCCCCCCCCCCCCTCCGGCTCCATAAAGGCCCCTTTCAGACGTGTTTTTCTGCCCCCCAGCCCCCTGGATTATAAATCCAGAGGAAAAGCACTGGCGAGGGGTGGTTGGAGGGCGTGAAGCGGGTGGGCTGGTGGGCCCGGCTGGCTCCGCTCCAGGGGGGGAGGAGGGTGAGGGTTGGGGGGGGGGGGGGGGGGGGGGTGGGGGGGGGGGGGGTGATGGTTTGGGGAGAGCCGAGCCGTGGTGATGGATGCCGTGCGGGAAAGTGGAGCGCCGGAGCTCTCTGTGATTAAAGGGCTGCTGTCCTC